GGATATGCTGGACCGATACTTGCAGTTTTGTATATCCAGCAAAGCATATCCTCTCTAGGCATTTTCTACGTTATAATAATAATAAGCTTCATTTATACTCTGCCCCCTCTCCCGGAGGGACTCGGGGCGGCTCCAGCATTTGTCACCATTACTATGGACTAGGAATAATTTACAATAGGAATCATTTTTACCCACAATTTTGCATATCCACATAAAGTCTGAGAACAATCCCCCATATATACGGGGTTGTACTGTATGTACAAATAATGAGTTTCATTTCTAATGACAAATGTACCATTAAGTTATTGTGTTACAATAGTAACATGAAAAGGGATAATTTCACTTTTGCTGTGTTTACAATGTGTTTTTAAATTACTTTTACAGATACTGGATGCATGCACTACTTCAGCCAGCGTCTTATGGTATTCTTCTTCAAAAACAACTAGTTCAGCTATATACTTTCAAAAAATATAATAATGACAAGAGCAAACTTTTAACATCAGATCCTTGGAACAGTAACTGCAATTGATTACTTTTTGAAGTAACTAGTAACTGATATTGCAAAAAAAAAAAAGGCTAGCTAAAAAAGTCCTATGAAGCTCCCAATTTGCTCCCAACAAAGTGAACAAATGTTTCTCCTCCATGTTAGCAAGAAGAAATCCTCAAAATCAATTTCCCCTACTCCTTCCACAGATTCAATATTACTACTCACTTGCATCAGTATGCTGTAGCAGTAGAGCATTGCTTTCTGTGTCAGAACTCATTCAGGTCACAATGTGTTTGTAATGAATTCAGATCATGATATCAAGTGAAGTCTCTACAGTGCTCTGTAAACACTTATTATGATTATTATATTTATTGACGCCACCTACCTTTGCACACCCCAAACAATGGACATCCTCTTGTTTACGTGGCCATTTATCAGATAAAATGGAGGCAAGAGTCTAATTAGCCATGGCAATTTTTTTGCTTCCTATCAACATGTTTCAGCCTTCTTGGATTAATACCGTTCTTCATATATGCAAATCAAAAGCCACAGAGAGTTCAGAAAGCCCTGGATCACAGGGAAAACTGCCTGTGTAAAGAAGCCCCAAAGCATAAATAAAAGGATTAGCCAAGATTATTCATTATGATCTGTATCATTTATACACTGAATAATGGGTGGAGGGGAAAGTAAAGAAAAGAGTCCTACAAATTGAAGGTTATTGGGGTGAGAGGGAATCCTTGGCAGTATCGCCTTTTCCTTTTCTTTTTTGCCAGTGAAGCTTTTTCAAAGAGACAAACCAAGATAGTATTTCTAAAATGATGAATAAAATAAGCACAATTACATTTCTTTGCAGGGGTCAGTAGTGCAACTTCAGCTTAAAATACATTTCAAAATTAGATGGCTCAACTGTGTAAGTCAAAACATCAAACCAGACTGCCAGAGAAAACATTTCCTTTAAGTATTATATTCCACATTAACCCCATCTTAATACCGACATCAAGCTATCGCTCTTGTTTCTGATCTCTTACAAGGGATATTCACAGTTGTATTTTTCCTGAACAGAGAAGACAAAAAATATATATGCCAAAGTCATAAAATTATATAGTAAAGCTTTCAAGCCGGTGAAGAATAGAGGAACAAAGAAATCTCAGAGAGTAAATGGGCAGAGGAAGATAAAAGGAAGCATCTCTGGATTCACTGTCCCTTCGGAGGATAGGAATGGAATTGGCTGATCTGGTTCAGTAATTTTATGTTCTCAGGATTTGTCATACTGTGCTCCAGCCAGCTGTGTGCAGGCGCCTGGAATGAGTCCTTGGCTCTAATTTAAACAGTCATGTGTAATCTTAAATACTGTAAACGATGCTGCCGTTTTTCATGGTTCTGAGTAAAGAATGAGGATTCCTATGGCTATGTCCAGATGTTGAGTAATCCCAGTTTCTATTATCTCGTTAGAAGTCTTTGTCCTCTCTGAAACATATATTTTTTACTTTGAAGAAGTGGAGCCCCAGATGCTATCTCTTAATGTTTTACAAGCACCTCCAAATTTATGTAAACATCAAGGATTTGGGATATATTTACATTGCAACTCTGATGTAAATTAGTGTACTTGAGGTATTTTTGATACTATTTATTTTATTTACAACATTTATATCCCACCCCACTCTGAAGGGGATTTAGGTTGGCTCCCAATTCGATGCCTTGAAACATAAAAAAATAAAATAAGATAAACTTTAAAATCTCATAATTAAATAAAATAATTACTTAAAATCACACAGTCCAAAAGCATATTCCAGGAGTCATTCCAATTGTCATTCTTCATTATTGCACTGAGAAATCATTGCTGCTCTGGGAATCATTGTGCAAACACTTGGTCCCACAACCAGGATTTAACTCCTGTTCCTGAAGGTTAGGAGGGAGCTGATCTACTTTCCTCGAGGAGGGAGTTCCAAAGCCAAGGGGCCATCACCAAGAAGACGCTGTCTCTCGTTCCCACTAATCGCACCTGCAAGTGGGGTGGAATCTGGAGCAGGGCCTCCCTGGACGATTTTAACCTCTGAGATGTTTCATAGGGGGAAGATATGTTTGGACAAGTAAGCTGTGCCAGAAACATTTAGGGCTTTATAGGCTAAAGCCAGCACTTTGAATTATGCTCGGTAGCAGACTGGCAGCTAGTGGAGTGGGCGCAACAGGAGGGATGTCCTCTCTCTATATGCCACTCCAGTGAGCAACCTGGCTGCTGCCCATTGAAATACTTGAAGCTTCTGAACAGTCTTCAGAGGCAACTCCACGTAGAGCATGTTGCAGTAATCTATTCGAGATGTGACACGAGCATGGACTACCGTGACCAAATCAGGCTTCCTAAGATATGGGCGCAACTAGTGCACAAGTTTTAATTGTGCGAAAGCTCCCCTGGCTACCACTGAGTCCTGGGGTTCCAGGCTCAGTGATGAATCCAGGATCACTTCCAAGCTGCAGACCTGCATCTTCAGAGGGAGTGTAACTCCATCCAACACAAGCTATAACCCTATACCCTGTTCAGCCTTGCAACTGAACAGGAATGCCTCTTTCTTGTCTAGATTCAATTTCAATTTATTCGCCCTCATCCAGACCATCACAGCAGCCAAGCACCGGTTCAAGACCTGAACAGCTTACTTAGTAGCAGGTGGAAAGGAGTGATAGAGCTGGACATCATCTGCGTACAGATGGCATACATACAATTAAGTGTTTAAAATAAATGTAATAATTGTAATAAATTAACTAAAGTAAGGCTGCAGTCCTAGATATACTTTCTTGAGACAATTTCAGTTATTTTTATTGGTTTATAAAATTCTCAATATCAATGAGTACACAAAATTATAATGAAGACATTGGACTCAGTGGGCTCACTTTACATTGATAGGTATAGGGCTGCATTGCTAACCTTTCTTTAATCAAATTATCAAATTATGGCTGAAATGCAAAGGATACAGTGTTCCCATAAATGTGTGTACATTTTAACAGCAAAGAGTAGCTATGGTGATTACAAGGGTAATTATATTTATATTGAAGAAAACATGTTATAATACTGATTTAATCAGTTACAAATTCCATCTTAAATTGCTATTTTACGTAATGTGTTAAATTGTTGTCCCTCCATGGCCATTCACTGTCTGTGTTATCAAAATACAGAGTTGCAAGCCTCACTTCCAAGATTTTCTTGAAATTTCTAAATATTTTTCTGCTATTGGAATCTTTAATCCATAGCTCTCCAAACTTTGTATTATGACATGTTTGTGTGTTATGCTGTGGTTTGTAAGTGTGTTATGCAAACATATCTTGGCAAAGTATGCTATCTTACAAATCATATATTTTTAAAAAATATAAATGAAAGATTTTCATGAGATATCCTGTGTCCCCATACATTTCATTATTACAATGTATGTATGTGTCTGTATTTTTATAAGGAGTTGATTAGGGCTGTGAAACATGTGCCGTAATGTAAAATAAACTATGTAGTTCACATTTGGTCAGCCCACACACTGCCTTACCAGAGAAAGAAAATATGCCACGCAGGTGAATGGTAACGTACAAGTAGTTTACTCTTTGTAATTCAGAACAACATATGTACAATGTGATCAGTTGCATCAACTCACATAATGTCTTTTTATGAGAGATTTAAAATTGTCTTTCTTTGTCCATGTAGAAAAATTCCTTCAGCAGCTTATGAAGTGAGAGCACACTCCAAACTCTGTCTCCGCTTCTCTCTGTAAGCAGGTGCATAGCTCAAGCCTGAAAAATGTAACAGTAACAGTAACAGTAATGTAACAGTATCCCCAGCGTAGCCTGGCGAATCAGCTTCATGCATCTTATTTTACAGTTGACATACACACACTGACTGATTTCTTGTATGCTACAACAAAATGCCTTGTAGCTCTGTGCACTGTATATTACTGATTTCAGTGGAAAATATACACATGCAATTATATGCAACATCAATCAGGCGCGGTTGGTGGGGACAAGGGAAAGGGCATTCTTGGTGGTGGCCCCTCGTCTCTGAAACTCCCTCCCCAGGGAAATCAGGCTGGCACCCTCCCTATCCACATTTCGTAAGGAACTAAAGACGTGGATGTTTCGTTGTGCATTCGACTGACTATTCCTTTGACGATGGTCCTTAACAATGACCTGAATTCAAGTTCCTGTATTTGATTACTACACTTTTAAGTTAAGCTAAAATGATCCTGTCATAATTGCTCGATTCCTATGCTACTATATGTTCTATCCACCTTATTGACCAGCCTATCCTCTAACTTGTTTGCACATTAGCCCCCCTCCCCCCCCAAAAAAATGAGACTAGAGGTATCTCTGTGGTTGCTTATGATGCTTGTTTATTACTGTTTACGATGATGTTGTTCTTATGCCGTTTTAATATTTGTTTTTGTTTTTAACTGTATGTTGCCTTGGGCTTGGCCTCTCTGAGTCCCTTCGGGGAGATGGAGGCAGAGTAGCAAAATAAAATAAAATATATATATCTGATGTGAGGGCAGATAAGTTTATTGTACAAGATCTCTGTACAAAGCTTGGTTGCAGGCAAATTAGTTGTTTATCTTTGCATGGTACTCCACCTAAACCTTTTGTCCCTGCTTTAGAAAAAGCAATTCTGATAGATAAACAGCTTTCTAGCATGAAAGTACAGGGCATTCGTGTATCATTTTGGCTATTAGATTTCAAATACTTGGATATCTGTGACATGATCCAATATTTCAATTGTGAACTCAGGAAAATTTATATTCATAAGAATTCCAAAAAGCTATTTGTAAAAAAAAAGCAATGTCCTTAGTTTTAGGAAACAAATTATGAATCATCACAAGTTCAGAAAATTTCCCTCCACATCACTATGCAAACATCTAACCAACACATGGAACAAACTGTTTTAGCTGACAGTAACCCTGTTGGTGACCTCACACAAGAGGAAAAACATGAAGTAATCACAGAGCCAGGAAAGTAGGTTAGAGGAAGTGGATTGTGTTATATGATTGATATTGCTTTCTAATAGCTCTTGCCTTATTTATTTCATATCCTTTCCTGAGAGCTGCTGAATCACGAAATCAGCTCCAGAGACATGCAATGAACGCTTGCTAGTAGCTTCATTTTTCACAGGTTGAATTTCAGAGAAAAGCACTGGTGAATGAGAATTTGAATATAATGTTGCTATTAAGTAAAACAAAGGGAAGAGACAGATACAAGAACATATGGTCATACAGTATGTGTTTTCTCAGAATTAAGCTCCATTCAGCTCAGTTGAACTTCTGAGTAAACATTAACTGATTGTTAGTTGGGCAAAAGTTAACCAGAATTCCAAGAAGTCGTTACACAAGTTTTTCAGGTGCTAATAGAGGAAAATCAGCAACACTACCATAAACATAGAGTGCATCTATACTGTAGAAATCATGTAGTTTTACAGTATTGTAACTGCCATGGCTCAATGCTATGGATTCATAGAAATTATTGTTAACAAGGTCTTTACCAAAAAGGGCTAATCCCAGGATTCCAGAACATTGAGCTATGGTAGTTAAAAGTGGTATCAAAGTGCATTAATTCTACGGTGTAGAATTAACCCACAGAGTTAACAAAGGCACCTTCCCCTCCTTCAGAAGCTTTTTTACATCCAAACTTTTAGAACTCCAAAAAGATTTCCATAGCTCTTTGGGTGAAACTGAATATAAAAGTTAAAGGGCAATCCACTTTTTGCACTGTCACCACAGCTGACCTCCGGGGAAAACATGTCTCTTATCACTTCCAGAATGTAAGACGCCTCCTTCTGCGAAAGAGCCAACTGGTTGAGTGAAAGAGCCAACTGGTTTATCCTTGTTTATATCTCAGTAGCACAACATGTTCACGTAAGCAGGAAGTTCAGGGCCCACACACTTATTCCTTGCAACATTTGGGTGTCTCAAGCACTGAAAAAAAAATTAGAGTTTCTAAATGTAGCATGCAGATATAGGCACCACTTGAAGACAATCAAACTCAATTAAACAAGAATAACACGGGTAAGCAATAAAACATCTCCATCGTGCCATGAGTGTGTGCTCCTTGTGATATATATGTAACACAAAGCTCACTACTGCCCAGCAAATATAAAACCAAAAGAAAATGAGTGGCTGTAAAACGCCCCCCGTCATCTATCTGGAAACTGGGAAATCCACTATTAAAATAAAGATGTCATTAATGTGATGATTTTTATTTTATTTTATTGTAAATATGTTGATGAAGACTTAGCACGCCTCTTGCTTGGCACAGTAATGTTGTCATAAGACGCAGAGGAACCAGCAACCATAAACAATAAATTCAAGACATTTTTAAGTCACTTTAATGAAGATTAACCATAACCTGGAGGAACTATCTGAAATCCTCCTTCCTGTGCAGATTGAGTATATCTTATCCAGAAATCTGAAATGTTCCAAAATTATCCAAAAGTATCTTAGATCATGACTCTTTTGCTTTCTATGGTTCAGTGTACACAAACTTTGTTTAACACCCAAAAATATTTAAAATGTTTTATAAAATTATCCTCAAGCTATGTGTATAAGATGTGTATGAGACGTAAGTAAATGTTGTGTTTAGAATTGGGTCCCATCTCCAAAAATGTATGTACAAGTGTTATACTCAAAGTAATACCTATCAGGTCATAATGCCTTTCTAAACATGAGATAGATGCAACTCCATAAATGTGTAGAGTAGCTCTTCGTCTACAATGTGATATTAATCAAAAAAATTTCCACCTGTGACAATGCATTTGTGCCACCTTTGAACCTAATTCAATCCATTTTGGAAAAACTCTTTAGTGTATTCCTTGGTCCAATCTACTAAGGTCTTCTAATTCATTAACATTACTGAAGCATCATCTCAGAAGACATCCCTTCATCTGACAGAACAGCGCTGGAAGGGGAGATAAAGTGCCACTACTTTGTGGACTGATTCCTGGGGAACATCTACACTGTCCACTTCAAAATCTGGTGTTTAAATGACACATGGCACAAACGCATTCAGGAATGTGAATTAAGAGGCCTAAATCTTGGGGATACTCTGATATAAGTGTTGTAGATCAGTCTGAGATTCTTGAGGCTGATGGGTTCACTAATGATTTAGAGATGGTTGTGGGATTGCCTGTGGGATTTTCTGGGGCTCGAAGTGAGGAAGATATTAGCCAAGGGAATGATACCTCTTTCTGTGAGAAATCTGACTCAGAAAGTGCAGGGCTTCAAGTTCAGTCAGAAGAGCCAGAAACTGCAACATTAGATAAAGAGTCAGGCAAAGACCTAAGTGATACAGAAGGCTCTCATGGGAAAACACCTGGAGCTACAGAGATAAAAAAAAATCTGTTTGCAGATGTGAGCAGAAAATAGGAAGCGCCAGTCAGAGCGATTATGTAGGAAAGTGAGGGAGAAAATTCACGGGAAAAGGCATGACTTCATGGATGCCTTTTAATTAGCAAGTTGTTTACCTAAGAGCTAGTTCAAGTGAGAAGCTAGGCCTGAAATCTCTGGTTTTTGTTTCAAGTCAAGCCTTGGTTTTGGATTCAAGTATTTTGGAAGTTTCTATGTACCTTTTTTGGGGTTCCTGTTCAAGTTTTATTAAGTAGACTTTTTGCTTGTGGACTTAAGCTGTTCTGGGTTTTTTTTTTTTTTTCCTAGTCAGGAGCAACTTGAGAAACTGCGTCGCTTCTGGTGTGAGAGAATTAGCCGTCTGCAAGGATGTTGCCCAGGGGATTCCCGGATGTTTTGACATTTTATCATCCTTGTGGGAGGCTTCTCTCATGTCCCCGCACAGGGAGCTGGAGCTGACAGAAGGAGCTCATCCACACTCTCCCCAGATTTGAACCTCCAACCTGTCAGTCTTCAGTCTTGCTGACACAAGGGTTCAATCCACTACTCTACAGGGGAGTCCAGCTGTTCTGGTGACTTTGGGCTATCCCTGGGCTATGTTACCTTTGAATCTGCGGGGAAAAAATGGATTCCTGTTGTATTATCACATATTGCTAAGCTTTCATTATGCCTGGTTTTTCCTATACTTTTGTGTTATGTGTTTTTACAGTAAACTGCTTATATTTTAGACTCTTGTGTGGTGCTGTGGTCATAGGTGTTCTCAGGCCTGGAGCACACCATTAGGGCCTGTAACGCAAGTAAGTGTGAACCACATCTCATGGTGGAACTCATTAAGGGACGGCTGCTTCAGCAATCTGCACATGGGTGGAGGGAAAGAACAGATCTTACACTTCCATAAAGCCACAAGTACTAGAAATGAATCGGAGCCAAGCTCTCTGGTACATATAGGCCCTCTATCCAGCTCCTGAGTTTAATGTGCCACATTGCATTTCACACCCTCCTCTACCACTTTCATCCCACATTAAGTAATCAATATCAACGCACCTCTCCCTATGAACCATCTAGGAGTTTAAGATCATCTGGGGAGGCCCTGCTTTCGGTCCCACCTTCTTCACAGGTACGACTGGCGCGGACGAGACAGGGCCTTCTCAGTGGTGGCCCCTCTGCTGTGGAATTCCCTAGGGATATTAGATCAGTCCCTTCCCTCTTGACCTCTTGCAGAAAAGTAAAAACATGGCTTTTTGAACCTAGTGCAATAGATAAACATGGAACTATGTGAAATTGAATACTGGAACAGCTTAGACCAGTGGTTCTCAACCTGGGATCCCCAGATGTTTTTGGCCTACAACTCCCAGAAATCCCAGCCAGCTTAGACAATATTTTTGAACAACGAGGCTAATAATGAAGGTAGTGGTTTTATATGTTTTTAAGGGTTTTAATGTATGTATTTTATAATTCTGTTTTAAATGTTTATTGTAATGTTTACCTTGTTTTAATGGCATCGAATAGTTGCCTATGTTGTAAAGCCGCCTTGAGTCACCTTTGCATTCGATAAAGACGGGGTAGAAATATCGTAAATAAATAAATAGATGCGCCCCAGTTCTTGGGATCATACATGTATGCACAGGTCTCATCCCGAATGTGTCCTTGCGGACTTCAAATGCTGCCTGACATAGTGTCTTCTTGAATCGCGAGGAGGGGCAGGTAACAAATAACATTTGCTTTTTAAATTATTTTAAGTATCCTCTGCTAATGGATAAAGAACTCACTTGGCGCACATTTTCCAATCTTGAGGACCATTTACTCAATCGCTCTTCGGCCACAGCCCAGTTCTTCAGCAATCTCTCAACACAAATGATGTCCTCCACCCCATTCTGGTTTTCATTGATGACTGCTGTTGATGTCCATTTCCATGGGTCTTCAACACTGGTTTCGCCCTCTTCTTCCAACTCTCGCCGCCATCTTCCCCCATGGCTTTCCTTCTGTGGATGTTGGCAGCAGCAGGTCCTTCTTTGGGGATGAACCCCACGACTTCTCTGTGTTCCTGCTCCACATTATGCAACACCCAGAAATTATGTCAGCCCTGCAGGAAGAGTGACTCTGCCTTGTGGTGTAAGAAAACCACACTGGGATTGGCAGTTTCAGGAGAGAAGTGGTACACAGGCATTGCTTCCAGTATATGCAAATAAGTCCAAAACCCAGAATGGTTCTGGTCCCAAGCATTTCCCATAAGGGATACACTCAATCTGTTCTCAGGGGGAAAAGGAAGGAGCTGTAACACGAGTCTCTCGGAAACCAATGGGATGCCTATTTGAAAGGAGTGGCTCTTCCCACTTTGACACACGCCCCCCTCCGCTATTCCGCTCGTTCCTCCCCAGAATGAAACCCCACAGAGAAACACAGTCCAAATACACGCGTGTATCAACGTATCCCCGCGCCCCACGCTCCCTCCTCCCCTTCCCTGTGTGGGATTTTGGGGAGGGAGGGGTGGAGAGTGGAAAGAGAAAGCGCCGCGGGGGGAGGCGGGAAGTGAGCGAGAATGGCCGTGACGTCGCGGTGACTGTTCACTATGAGGCGGCGCCTGCGCGGTGCGTCCCTCCCTGCACACGTCTCTCTCTCTCTGCCTTTCCCTTTGGTCTCGACTGTTTTACCCCAATGCGAAAGGGAGGGGGAAGGGGAAGAGAGAAGGGGCGGGGTTTGAAGCGGTGACGTAGACCTCCCTTCCTCTTTCCCTGCCCCTCCCCTCCGTCGACGCGCTCGCGACGCTCGGCACGGTGAGGCCAGCCGGGAAGAAAAAGCCAGCAAGTAATCGAGCGCCCTCACGCGCGCGCTCTCTCTCTCGCTTCCCCTCCCACTGCCCAGAGCGTCTCGACTGCCGTGAGCGTGTGCTCGCTATATTACGTGAAGCAGGCGAGGCAGGCCGCGCGCGCGCTTTCTCTCTCTCTCTCTCTGCCCCTCCCGCCGCCCAGAGCGTCTCGACTGCCGACGTAAGCGCGTGCTCGCTCAATCGCGAGGGAGGGAGGGAGGGTGGCTGAGCGCGCGCTTTGCCTCTCTGGCTACACAAGTGGCGGTTAGTGCGCGCGGCGGATGCGTCTTCTGTCAGGAGGCTCGCGGCGGCGGCCATTACCACCACCACCACCACCAGCAGCGCGCGGCAAGGAACCATCTTCTCCTTCTCCTCCTTCTTGCCTCCTCCCTTTCTCCACCTCCTTCCTCGTCCCGCGCAGAAGCAGTCCCACAAACTCCTCCTCCTCTTGACTGTTGGAACAAAGGAAGCGGCGGCGGCGGCAAGAGGAGCAGCAGCTCCGGGACTCTCTTCCCGCTCGAGCCGGGGAGTAGCGGAGGAGGAGAAGGAGGCGACGACATCATTCCCTCTGCGTCTGCCTCGCGGCGCACGTCGAAGGATTCCCTCCAGCAACGACCAAGCGGCAACGCCGGCGGGTGAGTCCCGAGGCCATTTTCCAACCTCCCTTTGGAGTGGGGGAGGCGGCAGCGGCGGCGTCGTCGTCGTCTTTTGTCCCTTCCTTAGGCACATTTTGTGCACGCCGCGTGGGCGGTGGGAAAAGAAAGGGCTCGAGGGAGAAAGAGAGAAGGAAAGAAAGAGGAAGCCTGCCTTCTGCGTTCTCCTCGCAGGAGGGAAAGGGAGGGGGAGGCGAGGACAAAGAAAGGGCCGCGGTGCCAGCTTGGCCTTTGTGTGAGGAGGGGGCCCGGGGGGGGGGCGCCGCTTCTCCCCCCAAATGGCAATCAACACTCGGCGTGGGGAGGGGGACTCCCTGGCCCCCAAGAATGGAGTCGGTGAGAAGGGAGGAAGGCGAAAGAGGAGACGGGAAACAAAGGACAGGAAGCGGACAATGCCTGCTGCCCTCTTCCCGCTTGGCATGGGATCTTTCCTTCCTCCTCCCTGGCCTTCTTTCTTTCCCTGCTTTCCAGCCCTCTCCCCCGTCTTGGTTTCCTTCTTTGTTTCCTTCCCCCTCTCTATTGCCTTTCTTTTAACGCTATATATCTTCCTTCTTGTTTCCCTACCTTGCTCTCCTTCCTTGCCTTGTTTTCCTTCTCCCTCCATTCTTTGCTTTTCCTTTTCTCTCTCCATTCTTTGCTTTCCTTCCTTCCCTTGTTTTCCTTTTTCCTCTCCCTTCTCTTCCTCCATTTTTTGCTTCTCTTTCTTCCCTTGTTTTCCCTTTTCTTCTCTCTTTTCTCCCTTCATTCCTCGCTTTCCTGCCCTCCCCTTGTTTTCCTTCCCTTTCTCCCTCCATTCCTTGCTTTCCTTCGCTCCCTTTCTTTCCTTCCCCCTCTCCCCTTTCTCCCTTCATTCCTTTATTTCCTTCCTTCTCCCTCTTCCCGGCATTCCTTCCTTTCCTTCCCTCCCCCCACCCGTGCCCCGTATTTCTTTTGGGGAAGGGAGGGGGGGTCCTTTTGTGTGTCCCTCGTTGCGCCCACCCCCCGGAGGTGGAGACGGCTTCCCGAGGCTGCCTGGGCCTTGCCATGACTCAGTGGTTTTCTTTCACGAGGCCTTCGGGTGTGAGAGAAGAGAGTGTGTTTGTCAGCTGCGGGGTGTTGGATCTAGATCTGGAGGAGGAGGAGGAGGGGTAGCGACCGGGCTATGAGCACGGCCCTTGGCTCTTCCTTCTCCGCTTACGGGCGTCTCTTCTCTCCCTCCCCCCCCCCTTCCCCTCATCCCTCCCTTTCTCTTTCACTCCGCCCCCGGTAGTTCTGTTAGGAGAGTCCGCCCCGACCATCATCGCCGCCGCCTGCCATTTTCTAATTCTTTTTTTCCCCAGCGCCTTTTATGTCCCCGAGTCCTTGGCGCTGGAGAGCGGATCTCGTTACAGTTCCCCCTCCCTCTCTTGCTCTGAGCTGGCAGCTTCTTCCCCTTTGTTTCTCTCACGTGGCTGGTTTCAATTGTGCCACTACCAAAAGCCTTGTTTCTCCATTGTTTACTGCTAAGGTTTAATGTTTGCTGTAGCCCTAATGTTACTGTTGTCATCTTTCCTACCACCCGTCTTGGTTTAAGATGCCCTCATTCTGTGCTTTACAGAGTGGAGAAACGAATTTTGAACGTACCCATTCCAAATATACAGATTTTGCGGCCAAAATTATGTTTGTCGATATGACTTGTGGATAAACTGAAAGCCATTCCACAAAGGGGGAAAGCACCTGTGGCATATTTTTTATTTATCATTATTCCTTCTGTGCTTTACAGTTAAATGAATATTTAACTCACTAATTCAAATCACGTGACAAGCTCGTATTTAAAGTGATATTAACACGACTGTGTTGTGAACAACTACTTCTACTATCCATGTACAGGAAGTCCCCAAGTTACGAACAAGATATGTTCTGTAGCTGTATTCTTAAGTTGCATTTGTTTTTAAGTCCATATATGCATGCCATGGATAGCATAGGGAAGGGTTAATACCCCTGTGGTATCTGTTTTGCTCCTGGTGTCCCTATTCAGAAGATTTCACTTCCTGTCTCTGTGACAATTGGATTTTGAAATATTTGGCTTGGTGGTGATAAACATTCAATAGTGACATCTTCCCCCAATGATAACTGTTTCAGGAGTGAATGTTCCTTCTGAAGAGTAGATTTCTCTCACTTCCTGTTGTCTCACCCCTGTTCTTAACTATGAGTTGTTTGTAAGTCAGATGTTTCTAACTCTGGAACTGCCTGTATAAAAAGGTAAAGGTTTTCCCTGACATTAAGTCTTGCCTGTATATTTATGTATAAATTGAAGACAGGCTTGGGCACCAAAATCAATTAATTTTGATATGACCCATGAATAAGTTGAAGATCATTCTCCAGAGGAGAAAGCACCAGTTCCTCCTCAGGAGGCCAGCCACCTCTGGCTGTCACCACCATTTTCCCAGAATGGATTGAGCTTTAAGATGTTTCATCATTGTTTTGCTTTGTCTTCAATACTATTTGAAAAAATAAAATAAGACAGAATAATAAACTTCATATTGGTACAATGTGAAAAATTATGCTTTTGGTGAACTCTTTCCTACTGGTAATGTTAAGTCATTCTTTTGATGAAATAATAAAATCTTTTCCTTACCTGTAAACAAATCCATTCTGAAGTTGTGCTTTTGTGACACCAGCAGTTGAGCTCATTTGGAGCTAAAGGCAAGCTAAAAAGTGAATCCCTCAGTGTCTAAAGATCGTGCTATCTTTGGGCAACCCCTCTTTTTAGGAGGAATTTATCATATGTGTGTGTGTGTGAGAGAGAGAGAGAGAAATTCCTCCTAAAACTTCATATAACATATATTATGTGAGAGGCAAGTCATCTGAAACCGTTACCTGTTTCGCTTCCTTGGATTTAAAATAACTGCAAGTCAATTAATAGGGTGAATTTTTTACTTATCCTCTGTTCCCCTTTGAAAATGTTGCATCATATTAACTAGAGTTCACATTTTCCCATGGTGGTGAATAAACATTTTGTTGCTTCAGTACTGTGGGCTGTGCAGGAGCTGGGTGGCCTTTGGAGATATAAATAGAAGCTGATTTCAGAGGCCCCTGTTGACGAGGTTTTGTCTGAGCCGCTAGCTCAGCCTGTCACATTGCAGCCTTGTGACAAGCGGAAGCTAATGCACTCACCCATGTGACCTTAGCTTCTGAGAAATATTAAAGTGAGCAGACACACATGTGATGGCATTAGGAGCTAGTATTCCAGTGAAAAGGCTAAAGGTGTAAAGTATGGCATGACATAAGATTAAAAGTTCTTTTAAACCTGGCACACGTGGGCTTCCTTTGAAGCAGAAAACTTTCTTTCCCATAATGGCTTTCACTGCACCATATATGGTGTGCATGCCATACTACAGTTATCAGAAGGTGTCCATTTTGTGTTTTTTAAGTAACTATAGCGGAGAAATTAAAGAGGAGAGAACTATGACCTGGCATTTACTGAGATTCGTTTTGTCTCCGTGAGGCATTCAAAAACCAATTGTGTTGTGAATAGTTGTGCATTCAGTTAATTCAAAATAATCACCGTAAATTAGTTTTGCATAGTTAGTTCTTGCTACACTAACTATTTTTGTTGGATATCCATTTTTAAAAGTAGATTTAGCTTTGTGAACAAACATGTACAGTGATTTCACTGATAAGGATAGTTTCACTCAAAATGCTTGCCGTTTAAGGACAAAGAACAAATTTCTTTGTCTTCTTTAATACAGTAGTTCTTAACCTGTGGGGCCCCAGATGTTTTGGCCTTCAGCTCCCAGAAATCCAAACAGCTGATAAACAGGCAGGGATTTC